ACTAGCTTCAAAACACAGTTTTCCACAAAAGCTGCGGCCATTAATGGGTTAAGAGAAAATAACCTTGCAAGGTTGTTACATAACAGCAGAATAAACAGAGAATTCGAGGAAGAAGGGGCATACACAAGTACCAACCCCCAAAAAGACTAGGTGTTATTCACACAAGTCAGTTGCTTATAGATTCAGTGCGGAAGATGAAAAGCACGAATTGTTTACCCTTAAGGTCACCTTAAAGAAAGAGGTGTTGAAGGTGCCATATTAAAATTTAAGAAAGATAAACTGTTTTCTCTCAGGAAAAGATGACAATTACTGTACTTGCAAAGTAAGACCGCCATTGAAATAGAAAACTGTCAACTGCTTATTTTATTTAACTGAATGGCTTTTGCTTATATATTTATTTCCATTCATTTTCTTAACACTTAAAAGCACACTTAATGAAAATGCTTGCAATATTTCAATTATGTCTTTTAACAATACATGTTTTTAAGAAAAGTCATGCGGGTAATATACAAATAAAGCTCTGTTGTGTCTGTTTTTGACCTTGAAAATAACATAAAAAACCGCAGGTAAACAGATGTCAATTGTCGCATACGGCACGTTGGTAAATAGTCAAGCGAGTAACATACGAATTAAAATTATGTTGTGTCTATTTGTAACCAACTTGACAATAAAAAAATTAAAAAGCCAAGGTAAACAGATGTCGATTGTCGCTTACGGCGCATTGGTTAAAAGTTAAGGGAGTAGCAAACGAATAAAGTTATGTTGTGACCTTCTTAACAATTACAAATAACATATTGCCTAGCGTAAGGTAAGTATGATATTTTCAAGATAACTGTCTTTACTCCCAAGCGGTCCGACTCCTAAATCCTCGAATCTGATTGGCTAATGCTGCGCGCTTCAGCGGTTCCGATTTTCCCATCTGGACCCAGGGTTTGGACCGTTTCGAGTTTTGCAATTTACACTTTTCAGTGGATTCGCAAGAGAGGCTTTAAGATATAAATATTATTACCAATGACTTGCAGTCATGGATGCAGACAAGGAAATTAATCAAAGCAAAAGCAAATTTTGTTATCCCAAAGAGAAAAACATACCACTAAACTAAAGAAAAACTATTGTGAAACACAAACTGCAAAACCGAAGAAATGCCAACATTTCAAAAGGACCCTCGAGAGATAACAGATTTCTGTAATTACAGGAAAGCATACTTCTGCTGAAAATGCTTGACTCGATGTAGGCAACGTGAACAGAATTTTATCAATGGTTTGGAAATTACTTTGGTAACAGTTGTAACTGTAGCCATTACTTTTTAGCAAAACATGGCGGGAGCATCAGCGCGGAGCACGGCCTAGGATTCAAGAAAGCCAATTACATACATTATTCAAAATCATCAACATCAGTGGATCTAATGAAAAACATCAAACAACATCTGGATCCTAAGGTAACTGGTTTAAATTACTAGGTTTTAACTACATTAGGTCCTATAGCAAGGCACTGGGAAAGTATCTCAAGTCTTATTACAATACAAACCTAGTTAATAAGTATATAATTTGAATATATCAACAAAGTTGAAATGGTACATTGGCCACCGTTACGATTATAAAAGCTGATGTTTCGAGCGTTAGCCCTTCGTTGGAGCGAATAGAGGAATTGTGGGTTGTGTGTGCTTTTAAAGGCAGAAAATGGAGCTACGTTATTGGTGGGAACATGGCAACGAGAAAAACACGAATAAATTAGTGGAATGAAAAGCGTTCGTTGATCCCTGTGGGATTTAGACTGCCGGTTTGAAAGATGAGCTTTTGTTCAAGAGTTTTACGGCTTTCCGTGCTACCTAAGTGTAAGGAAAGACCGCAGATTGCCATATGTTGCTTAGAATGATTAGGTAAATTAAAATGTCTAGCGACTGGTTTCGATGTGTCCTTGTCATTC